ATAGAGGGTCACTATGAGTCACGCCTGACTTGAGAGAAGTGAGCTTGAGGTGATGCCATCTCCTCACAGCCTTGGGGGCATGTAGGAACTCATCTCAGAGTCATGGAAGCAACTTTAAGTTTTTCTCTCAGCATATCTCTGGATAACCTTGTCATACATTTTACCTGTCAACCTTAATATTATATACTTTTCTTTGCATCATAAAAAATGGATTGAATTTTAGTTTGGAAACTATTGGCACCATGTCAACATAATTAGCTATAGCAAATGTTTGCATACAAATACAAATAGAGCAAAAAATTGCACAGACATTAAGTGGATTCTGACTGGTAAGGACCCTGTACTGGGTTTCTTAGGCTCATCTTTTTCCCGTGGAGCACCTAGTGCATTTGAACCATCAACACTTTTTATTATTACTTTTTTTTTATTATTGTCCTAGTTTATTTACAAAATTCAAATATATCATATTTCAGAACAGATTCTTCCAGTGTCCCTCACCTCCCCCATCAGATTGTACCACCCCATGATTAATTCCCCTTCCCCCCACATGCTCATCGCTCTGCTTCTACCCCCCATCCTTATACTCATTCTACAACCATCAACATTTTGATTAACAGCCTAATAAGTAATGCACTGTGACACTAAGGTTCCTTTTTGTGTGTGTACATGTGTTTTTCTGTTAACTGCTGTTATCTCTATTAAGGCTCATAGACATATTAAGAACAATAGACTGAAATCATTCTCCATCCTGCACCATCCTTATAATCTCCCCCATGTTCAAACTGATTGTTGCACTCATCAAGCGAATACATTTCCCTTTTCCAGACCCTCTACTTTTCCAAGCATCATTATTCTTTTCCCAATCACCGGCCTCTTTTGACAACATGCCCAATGCAAGACGAAGTTCCACTCTCCTTACTTCTAAGTGGTATCGTGGTTGTACTTTCTCCAAGACAGGCTTGTTTCTCTTTTGGCAGTCCCTAGTATATCCAGTATTTTTCACCAACTCCTATATGTGTACATTTCTGTAGATTTACATGCAGGCATCTCTGTGCATTTACATATTTTAACTCTGCCTTCCAACATTCAATTCTGAATGTTAGTTTCTCAATCTTTTCTCTCACGAATGTCTTTCATCCATAATATGAAAATTTCCCTTTCCTACCTTGGATTGGTCCCTTTCTTTCAATATCTTCTGGATTTAAGTGCCATTGAAATGCTGCCTTTGTATTTTATTTAATTTAGCCTGAATGAGTAAATCCATCTTGGAAAGATATTCTTGGGCATTTTCTGGGTTCTGAATAGTATGGACACATCCTACTTGTCATGTCTACCCACTGCTGAGGAGTTAATCCTGACTCATGAGACCTGCAGGACAGGGTGGAACTGCCCCCATCCAATTTCAAAGTCTGTCAGTCTTTACAGAAGCAGATTGTTTCATTTTACTTCCACGGATTTGACACTGGGTTTGAACTGCTGGCGGTTCTGTTAACAAATAAACAATCTGTTGTCTTTCCAGAGCTCTACTTGACCTTCATGTTACTTAAATTTGTCCTGACTTTGAAACATTGAAGTGATACAAAGTGAATAGCCTCGTTGCATTCACATTTATACTTACTGCACATGTACTTTTGAAAGTACACGGAGTTTGGAAAAGCTGTGAGAATTGTCCTGCATTAACGTGAGGCTAAGGAGAATCTCATGTGCCTGTTCCAGCTTGCTCACAAATTCTTACCGCCACATCTTGTAAGAGATCTCGTTTGTAACCCCGGGACTGCGTGCACATTTAAGATACTAAAGTTCAATAGTGATTACCAAGATGCTAGTGTTTTTTCCTGTCAGTGGAAATCAGAGTGAGACCCAAGCAAAGAACCAGGAACTAAACCCTTTCAGAAACACAAAGAAAGAAAGTTTGTTTCAATAAAGGATGGCTCTGGAATTTATGAAATTATTACCTTAAGTAGGCCCAGAGTTATTTTTGAAGTAAGAAATTATTTTGAAGGTAATACGATTTCCTTATTGAGGAACATGCTTAATGTTGAGTGTGACATGAAAATAACATATGACATAGTCTTAACTGAATATAAATGACAGATGTGGACTTGAGCCAGTTACAATAGCCTCTCAAAGGCTTCATCCTCTCATCTGGGCAATGGGGATAAGCAACCTCCCCTTTACCATGTTGATTAGATAATATTATTCCTGTGTAGTATATCCTTCACGTGCATATATGAACCTGTGAAGTTTATATCCCCATTTGTATCTGGCATTTGGGAGACATACAAAATACTGTTTGGTACTATCTTACTCCATTGTCTTTTAATAAATATAATGGCACATGTTGATGAACAGACTGTAAATCTTGAAATATGTTTTAGCAAGATGTAACAGCTCTGGTGGCCTAGTGACAAGAAGCTGTGCTGCAATCCCGAAGGCACGCAGTTCAAGACCACCAGCTGCTCCCCAGGAGAACGATAGGCAATTTCCTCCTGCCCGAGGGTCAGTTATGGGTTGGTTCTGACTTGACGGTACACAACAACAACAACATATTTTTAATAATATACTTTTTGAAATTGTCAGCTCTACATGAATTTACTTCAGAAAATGTTTCTGAACTCATTGAAAGACTAGATTACAGCCAAATGAAAGAAAGCAAAAGATGGAGAAATGGCATAGGAGAGGAAGACCCTCGATGAGATGGACTGATGCAGTGACTGGGGTAATGAGGATCGGGTTGGTGTGTCCAAGACAATAAAGTTATCACAGGGTTTAAGGCTGTTGTACATAGGGTTGCTATGAGTAGCAAGTGACTTGACAGCACGCAACAACAACTAATACAGAACCTAAACTTTTATTGTGATATTGGTGGCTAATAGAACATTTGAGCAGAAAAAAAAAACAGGAAGACTGAAGGACAAGGACTGGTATTACCCAAAATGAATAACTCCCAGTTCCATCGATAGATCTTACTGGTAATTGACTTCAACAAGAATTTCTACCCAAGACTATCTCTGGTCTCTTAGCAATTTGTGACATGTAAACTATGGAAACATCAATAGCAGCAGCAGTAGCAATAATAACTATGCTTTCTAAAAATGTTAAGTATATACTACAATTGACTTCATTTGTTCAAATTTATATACTTCCCTATGGATTAAACATGTCCTTTTATGATCCTAAACACATCCTATTAAAGTTTGCTCACTGAACTTTTACATTCATTTTGAACTTGACATAAGATCAGAAAGAGATGTTTTCAGCAGTTTGTTACTATTTGTTGTATGTTTGTGACAACTGAACCTTGTTTGGGGATTGTTGTCACTTCTTGTTTGCCCAGTCTGCTTTAAGGAAAAAAGCTAAAGCAGCAGTGGGTATAACTGTAGTCTCAACAAACTCTTCTCTCAGTTTGAGTCAGCTGAGAAACCTTTTCCCCAGAGAAGAGACTTGGTCTCAGTGCCTGAGAGGTCAGCCAAAGTCTTCAGGCTTGAACTGAAAACATACAGAAAACACAGCAAGTATATACCTCAGCGCCTATGGGACGTCTGAAAATATTTTATTCCTGTGGGCTAGGCAATAACATCAACTTCAGGCTGAAAAGCTCTCCAGAGAATTTCCAAAAGATAGCCAATTAATATAAGCAGTGTTCTCCATCTAGATGAAATGTCCCACCTCAGGAAATACATGGGAACAAGGCGGAATCAACATTTCATGAAACAGGAGTGCTCCCTCTAAAAAACACATTTACAACCTCATTATAAATCTTTACACAGAGGCAGCTGTGACATTTACATTACGCTTTCCGTGTTACAAATGATAGTTAGCTCAGAGTCCTTTTAGTGGCCTGTAACAACATGTAATTATATTTTTAAATGTTTGTTGCAATTTTTGGAAATCATTTCACCATTGAAGTGGGCTATGATAAGTGGTTATGGTTCTTCATGGGTACAGAGTATTAATCAACTGGTCATATAGTATCACATGGAATGAATCAGTTTACTGGTCTTGATTACCCAGAAATTTAACCCAGGGTGGGTTCAAACTTTCAGACTATATTAACATATGCAAAGTAAAGTAGAGGAGAAAAAGTTTAGAGAATCAAATTAAACCCTGGGAAAATAGTTATCAAAGTCTCTATGTTTCACAAACTTATACAAAATGGATATGGAAGACATAATAGGTGCCAGTTAGTTTATATTAGCAAAAACTATATGATGCAGGTTCCAATCCCTATAGCATCATAACAAAGAACAACTTCCAACACAAAAGTCCAAGATGCTATGAATATGTAACTTTAAACATTATGAAACAGTTTTGTTTTCAAAAAGAAGAATTTTTGGAAGCATTGAATCTTTGTTACTTTCTTATCATCCACCTTATAAGAAGAACCTATCTTTCCTCTTTAAATCTGGTCAAGGATATCTTAGTTCTTCTGGATTAATTGTTCTTGAAAAGTTGCCTCCAAAATGCTCTCAATTTAAATTTTAATTTCTCAGTGGACACTAAGAAAATATACTGGGATTTAGAGCTAAATCCTTTAACCCAGAGGGAGCTTAGGAATAGTCCAAAAGTGGAAAATGCACAAAACCTCAACTCTTCTCTGCCAATTTTTCTTCCCATTCAATTTAACTTTGAAGCTTTCAGGCTTAAACCTTTCACCGTATGGCATCAACAAAACACTCCCATCGAAATCAAGTTACCTTCTTGCTGCACAATCCTCTAAATAGATCATTAAAAAGGTAAAATAAGAAATTAGCTCTCTTTGCTCTGCCCCTTTTATTTCCTCTGCTGCAAGTCAAAATGATGCTATTTCCTAAGACATTGCCTGGAAATGCCATTATCCTCTCATTGCAGGCTTTCATTCTAGGACACTTGCTTATAAACTCAGCCTTTTCCTGACATAAACAGTCACTTACTGCAGTGCAGAATGTCAGTTCAGTCATTTCGAACTTTCAATGCTGAAACCCCCGTGCGACGCAGCCACCCAGATAAAGCAGCCTTACCTTAATTGAAATATTCTCTGTGAAGGAGCTGAGAAATCAGTCAAATCAGCCGTGAATGGGGTGGGGAGAGCGAAGTTTTCAATCAACACCCTCCGAGTCGCTGCATCCTGGGCTTCTTTTCTTTGCTGTTTATGTTGAGCTCCTCACTGTCTGAGGGGAGAAAAAAAGATAAGCGGAAATCCTCAGAGGTTCCCAAGGAGTAAATGAGGACTAAGCGGTGTTTCTGAACGGGAGATACTCCACGAGCCTGCTCTGTTTGGAGGCTCCCTGGCTGCTGTGATAGGCTCCTGTCATGTCCCGGGAGCTGGGCGATAATCATTGACCTGATTAGCAGGGACCTCTCCCTGTGTGCAGGCAGCACACAGGGAGTCTTGGTGGCTCTCCTGGGAATTGGAAAAGGCACCAGGGCCACTTGGGAATCTTGCTTTTTCCAGCCTGATGGATGCACTCCAAGAAGGGCTATAATTTGCAAAGAGATTAGCCACGGTGTTACAGCCATCAAAGGACTTAAACAAATGTGCTTTCCCTTGCCGGGCTTTCCAGGTGCCTTGGTGTTAGCTATCAGCTACAGTGAAGCAATTAACAGACTGATGGAAATGATTTGTAAGACAAGCCTAAAGCTGAAACATGTTTAAAGCAAGGCGATAAAAAGAGATAGAGGTGTTTGTCTTTGACCCTAGCCTGGTACACACTTCACTCTTTTCTAAGTAAAATGAATTTAAAGATTTATCATCACAGCCCTCCAGAGAGCAACTGTATGATTAATCAAAAAGTAGTATGCACACTAAATAAGCATATGTGCCCTTTAAAAAAAATAAAATAAATTCTTTTGTTTCTCTTCAGAAACAAGCATCCAAACCAAGACATAAAGACCTGAGCATTCCTTGTGCAGTGTTTCAAAGAGCATTTTAGATGAACACATGGCTGTACTATTAACCTCAGCTACTTAGGAGAATACAGTATTACACCTGGCTGAGTACTTTTCTCTGTCAAAACACCGATGTACTAAAACAAAAAGAACCATGGGCATGACAGAGACCAAAATGTCAAATACTTTTAAAAGGCATCCTAGCGCCATTACCAACCTGCTGCTGGCCCATCCTCTCTCTCTGCCACTGACCATCAAGGAAAGACTCTCCCATCCTCCACCTCAAAAGTTACTAGCTCCCTGAAGAGACCTAATTCTCTCCAAAAGGTCACATCGCTCCATGGTGAAGCCCCAAATGGTTAAACTTTGACAGCTCTCATTTTTATGGGTGGGAAAAAATATGCAAATAATATAAAAAAGAACAGATGAAAAAAGTCATTTGCATGTCTTGAGGGTGAGAAAAATCTCATTGCCAGAGAGAAAACTGACAAATGTCCCCGCGCAGCAGTGATCCTGCGATGTGTTCAACACTTCTGTTTTTCCAAGCCAGCCTCACTGGGGACATATGGCATTCCTTCCATGTGCGCACGTGTGCGCGTGCGTGTGCACTGGCCTTGTTGCTGGTGTGTGTGTACGTGTGTGTGACAGAAAGTCAGGGAAGGGGGAACTAGGTTTGCACTGATAGGTTAATATAGCTCTTCTAAACCACAAACTGCAAGAGAAGACTTTGTTTAAAAAAAACGTGAGCTTGTGTATTAGAGAGAGAGAGCCCCAGCCAGGGAGCGAGGAAGAGAGAAAGGTGCATTTACATTGATATCTTAATAGATACCTTGAAAACCGCAAATTTCAAGTAAACGAATGGACATTCTATATGTATAAGGAATGTGTTTGCCTTATGTAGGCCCAAGGGAACGGCATAAGGCATGTCTCATTAAAATGTAAGCTCCTTGATGGAACTTCTTTCATCAGAGAAAAGTCCAGTGTGACTTTTCTCCTGTAAATAGGGCAGACCCTGGATCCTGAAAGGAAAATTCAGGGCCAGAAGCCCAGCAAAAGGAACCTGAGTGCCGCTGGTGGAGAGGAGATCTCTTGCTCCCCCACCTGGTGGAGGGTGAGAACTGAAGGCCCAGAATTCTGGTCAATAGGCCAAAAAAAGGGAGGGTGACTGGTAGTGCTGGATAGTGGGGAAACTCATTATCCAATTACAGACTGGCTCAAGAGTGATTAGAGTGTTCTTGCACATTTAAAAAAAAAAAAAAAGGGCTCTTAAATTGCACTTGAAAGCACCTGAAGCATAAACGATAGATAAAGAGAGATTATAGCAGCTCTTTTCTTCTGAGCCGACTCCTGCTACTGTTTAAACTGGGAAGCAGGTCATCCTGGTTCATGTCACGAAAGCATTATGCCCCCACGTTGGTGTGTACCATTCTGAGGATCTTACCCTCCATAGGAACATCTTTTGAAAAGGTAGATTCTTTTTTTCATGAACCTCATCCTGCATCATTTATTCTTTAAAACTTGTTGTTGCTATTGTTGTGAGGTCTTATTGAGCTGAGATTACCAATGACTTTATGAACAGCAAATCAAAATCTTACACTGTCCTCTATTATTCTGACATATACACCATATTCAAACTTGTGTTGCAGTCACTGTGTCAATGTCTCTCTACAATGACTTTTTTCTAGGACCACTCCTTCTGGTAACACACCCAAAATTGTGAGGACTTTTACCATCCTTGCCTCTTAGAAGCATCCTACTTACATTTCTTTCAAGACAATTCTGGTTGTCTATGGTACATTCAATATTTTACACAAGGCCACTACATTAATGTGTCTAATTAAATAATTCTACCACTGGGTCAATTGGCAGAATCATGATAGATGGTGAAGAGCTTGAGATTGTTGACAGCTTTAGTTTGCTTGGCTCCACAATCAACACTCTTGGCAAAATCAAAGACAAATTCCATTGGCAAAGTCTGCTTTCAGAGACCCCTCCAAAGCACTGAAGAGCAACGATGGCAGTTTGGAGACTAAGGTGTGCCTGATACAGGCCATGGTCTTTACAATCACTTGGTATGCATCAGAGAATTGATGCCTTTGAGCTCTGGATTGAAGAAGAGTATTGAATATACTGAGGACTGCTAAGAGAACAAATAAGTTCCTCCTGGAGAGGGTGAAATCAGGCTGCTCCTTGGAGGCAAGGATTCTGAAGCTTCAGCTGACATAATACAGACATGTTGCAAGGAGGGACCAATCCTTGGAGAAAGACATCATGCTTGGGAGGATGGAGGGACAGTGGAGGAGAGGTAGACCCTCCATGAGATGGATTGATTCAGTCACTAGGGTAATGAAGATAGGTGTGTCAGAGACAATGAGATTGGCACAGGATAGAGCAGGCGTTAAGGCTGTTGTTCACAGGGCTGCTATGAGTCAGAGGCGACTTGACGTCATATAACAACAACCAACAAACAGACAACAATTAAATAATTTTCATTTTGAAGTCCTAGGAAGCATAGAATTTTATTGAAAGCAGTTTATATAATCAGTCATTTGTTCATAGGAGGGATTTTCACTCTCAGTATTTTCTACCACAGTAATGAGTGACTTCCGTGATTGTGTTTTGAAATACATTTCACCAATATGGAACAAAACTTGATGTAGAAGACGTACAAGAGGAACAAACTGAAACGCAAATATTTCATGTGTGTGTGTGTGTGTGTGTGTGAAGAGAGTGCTGTAATTACAATATAAAACCCTTTGATCTTAACTGGTGATGCAGTGTGTTACTCTTCCAAGGGCTTTCTTGGCTATAATATTTGTATCATTAGCAAAAGAACAATATTAATATTGTGCCTACAAAATAATAATAATGTTACTACCAATACAAGCAAACAATAAGGCAGATGGATTTGGGGTGAACACAGAGAATACAGAAGAATATTTATTTCTGTTTTGTAGACTATGCAAAGGCTATGTCGATCATTTCAAACTATGGCTAACACCCAGAACTCCATTAATACTTCATTAAGCTCACACAAAACCTATAATTAGACCAAGAAGTTACTGTCCAAACAGAGCAAATTAACACTGCATGGTTTGATATCAGAAGTTGTGGGTTGGGATTTCATCTTTTCTCCATACCTATTCAATTATGCTGAACAAACAATTCAAGAATCTGGACTTTATGAAGAGGAATGCGGCATCAGACTGGAGGAGAACTCAGCAAAAATCTATTATACAGATGACACAACCTTCCTTACTGAAAATGAAGAAGACTTGGAGTGTTTGCTGCAGAAGGTCAAAAACTACAACCTTCAATACAGACTGCATTTCAACATCAAGAAGACAAAAATCCTCACTCTTGTCCTGATGAACCACATCATTATAGTTGGGAAAATGATTGAAATTGTCAATGATTCCATCTTACTTCGATCCATAATCAATACTCTACCAGCAATCAGGAGACCAGGAGATGTATTGCATTGGGCAAATCTGTTGGCTGAGAACTCTCCACGTAACCCAAGATCAATGATATCAGTTCGAAGACTAAGTATGCTGGACTCAGGTCATGGTCCTTTCTGTCACTTGATATGCATCTGAGAGCTGGACAATGAATAAGGATGACAAAAAAAATGATAGCTTTGAACTATGATGTTGGATAAAAGTGCTAAATATATCATGGCCTGTTGAATAAACACATATATTGGAAAGGATACAGCAGAGTGCAAGGATGCCCACGTTTTGTGTCACATACTTTGGACATGTTTCTAGAAGAAGCTATCTTTGGAGAGTGACATCATGCTTGGAAAGTGGACGGTCAGCAAAAATGATGAAGACCCTGGACAAGATGAACCGACACAGTGACTGTAGCAATGGACTCAAGTGTGTCAGCGACGATGAGGAAAGAAGGATGACACAGGAAGGGGAAGGTTCCCTCAGTTGTTCATTAGCAGATGTACTTTACACTTGACAGCACCTAACAACAGACAGTCAGCTGAGGAAACAACACTGTTGGAGAAAGTACAGGCAAAATTCACTTTAGAAAGGAGGACATCGCCCTCTAGTTTTAGAACATGCTGTCAGAAGGGACATGTATGTTGAGAAAGGCAACATACTTGGCAAAATAGAGTGAAAAAGGAAAAACCACAGTGAAATATATTGATACAGTTGTGACAAAATTTGGCTTAATCACAAAGATAATTATGAGGATGGCACATGACCAGGCAGTAATTTTTTTACTATTATAAATTAGATTGAAAATGACACGGGATTTTGTTCATACCTGAAAACAACAGCTTTCATGGAGCGGTTCAAAAAAGGTTTCTTCTTTTTTTTTTTTTTTTCTTTCATTTTTTTTTTCACTCCCTTCTTTTATTGATTTTTGACACAGTAGAGATGACAG